TCTCCTGCCTCGGCTTTCTGACGGAGTCGGGGAAGCCCCGGGCCCCGAGGCAGCTCTGAGGAGTCAGCAGCAGATCTCAGGTCAGCCCAGATGATGGGGGCCGATGCTACCGGGGATGACTTCTGACAGCAGAGGACAGAGCGAGGGCTGGAAGTGTGTCCCCCCAACCCCAGTTCTTAAGCAAATTCCGGCTCTGTCTCTGCAGCCACGTGCATGTGTGACCGGGCTGGAATGAGCAGCTCACGTGGCACCAGATCCGGCCGGTCTGAGCTCTGGGAGGAGGAAGACAGAGCCTGCCCGGTGCCTCCACAGCAGCCCTGGGCTGTCAGCACTAGGCCCCTGCAAGAGCCTCAGCCCCATGCAGTGCTGGATTAGCGTGATCCAGGCCTCCCTGATCACCTTGGAGCCGATCCGGACACAAATCCTGCCAAGGGGAGGAAGGTGCTGCCCACTCGGAGCCAGGGGCACCCTAGGGCCCTATCCCGCCACCAGGACCTCTGCCCTGCCCCCACAACCGCCCACCGGGGCCTCCACCCTGCCCCCCACCCCAGACCGCAGCCCTACCCCCCAGGCAGCATCGGGCAGACCCTGAGCAGACACCTCTCACACACACCCCCGCGTGGGACCCCACATGGGGCCACCTCGACCTGCACAGGGTCAAGTGAGAGGACGCGCATGCAGCAGCCCCCACAAACCTGAGACGGTCAGAACATCCCAGGGAGACCGTCCCGTGTCCCACACTAGGGGTGGGACACTGGGTGGTCACCTCCCTTCTCCAGGCGGGAAGCCCCCTTGGTGAACACAGACTCACCCCCATGCTGCAAACCAGGGAGAGGGAGGGGTGCCTTCAGGTTGGGCGAGAATGGAGAACAGGTGCCAACGGCAGGAGCGACCCGCAGACCGGCTCCAGGGACAGGACTAGGCCCTCAGCACGGGGGCAGGGGCAGCCTGCCAGGTACCTGCCTCCACCGTCAAATGAGGACCCGCACCCCTGCGAGGCAGGTGGGTGAGGCCGGTCCCTAGGAGGAGGAGGCACTGCCATGGCCCCCTGAGGACGGCTCAGGGCTCCAGACCACCCACCCTCCCCCAGGTACACCTGCCCCGTCCAGTCCAGCCTCCGGGCAGGGGCCCCACCACACTCCCGGTGATCAGCAAGCACCAACACACAGGACTCCAAGCAGAGCTCTGCTCCCCCCCTTCCCCCTAGCCAGGCCACCCTCCAGCAACACAGGGCGGGGGGGTCTCGGGGCTCTGGGGACCGCAGCAGAGCTCCTGAGCTGAGGGCCCAGGCAGCCGCCATACCCTTCAAGAAGCACTGCTACCCTCTGAGGCCATTCTCCATCCCCCACGGCTCCCTCCACCCGCACCCCTGCTCTGGGCCGTCCTCCCACTGCAGCCAGATCTGACTGAATCTCTGCGGGGCTGAGCCCAGCACCAGGCACTGACTCCATCACTGCCTCCTTCCCACAGGACACCGCTGGAAGGGTCTGGGTCCTCACGTCAAAGACCGGGACACCCGGGTCACACTGCATGTCACACAGCCAGGAGGGGACAGGCTGACCCCCCCATGCCCCACTGCCCAGCCTGTCAGCACAGGGCTCCAGGGCTGAGCTGGCCAGGGCACCAGGCTACAGACACGGTGGGGTGCCAGGGAGTGTGGTGCGGGATGGGGGTAGGCCACCGTGGGGCGCTGGGGGGGGGGGGCACACTAAGGGAGGGGCTCTGGAGTAGAAGAGGCAGGCCATGCTGGACAGCAGGATGGCCCATGCACCCCCCTGCTTCATGGGCCTCCAGACATGTTCCCAAACATTGCCCCTGGGGCTGTCTGTCACCCCGGGTGCAGGATACAGCAATCAAGGTGTTTCTGGTGGAGGGAGCTGAGGAGCAGCCCCTGAGGGAGGTGGCATTGGGCGGGCACTAGAGGAAGAGATGGCCCACGTGAAGGTGGAAAAGTGAGAGGTGAGGGGTTGGCATGCACCCCCACACACCCCGGGCAGGGCCACCCACCCGCCTCTGCTTTCTGCCCCCAAGGTCCACCGGTCCTGGTTCGGGGCACCCAGCCCACTGCAGCCTCCAGGACCCCCATGACCACTCTCCTGGTGTCTCCCAGGCCCCATGCAGGCCCTCCCTCTGCCTTAGTGAGGCCGAAGCCCACAGGCCCCTTCACAGATGCCAATGCAACAGACAGACAGGGGAGAGCTTGTCTGCACTTTGACCACCACGGGACTCAAGCATGTTGTGAGAGGCAGGCAGTGCGGTCCAGCCCCATGCCCACTCGGAGGAGCTGGGACCACCGGAGCACCAGAGCTGGGGAGCCGTCCCCGTCCAGCCCAGAAGGAGCCTCTCTGCCTGCTGTGTACACAGCCCAACAACAGCCAGGTGAGGGCTGAGCCCCATCCCCCTGATGCTGTGCCCAGGGCCCTACAGACTGGAGCCAGCACTGTCCCACAGCACGTTCAGGAGGCTGAGGGGACAGGCCCCTGGCCACAGGCACACTGCTCACACAGGGCTCCTGGAACACCCATCCTTCCATTCCACAGCAGGCAGGGTGACACCTCCAAGAGACAAACAGATAGACAAGGTCCCGCGGCCACTGAGCTTCACTCCACAGGGGAGAGAGTTCTCCAACCTGGCTACCTCAGCCGACCGGGGAACCCATGACAGCGCCCAAGGCGGGGTCCGCTCAGAATCCTGACACAAATGCCAAAGACCACACATGTCTTGTGCAAGGCGAGAAGATCAGGCTCAATTCTGTGAGGATCTTAGGCCACTAGATGTATTCATCTTAAAGGAATGTCCTCTCTCCCGAGATCAGAGCCCACCCGCTTCTATCATACTGAAATGCCTTATCTTCTGTAAAATAAGGGCAATAATGGATGATAGTGAACTTTTTTCAGTCCTTCCTTGACAAAATAAAAAAACCACTGACTGCCAACATGGAGAAAACCCAGAGTTGGCAGCTTACACTGGCCTCAGTCATTTAAAAATGCTAACAATCCATGATATGCACAAATTCCACCATGAAAGGGGTCCTGGAAGGCCTGAGGCCTGCAGCCTGGTGAGGAGCTACCCTGCAAGCAGAGGGGCTCTGGTGGGAACGGGGTTCTGGTTGGGGGGGACAGGAAGGTGCCAAAGCCAGAGTTGCTGGATCTGAAAGCTGAGGTCGACGGGGCAGGAACGGGGGCAGTGGTCCCAACCACACTCCATCACACAGGCAGGCCTGGCATCAGGCAGGAAGGTGCAGGAGCCAGCTCTCCTCTCCAGACCCGCGCCGGTGACACCAGCCTCCAGCCAGCTGGGCAAGGCAGCCCTGGAAACGCGCTCAGGGGCCAGGGCCCTGAAAATGCCAGCCGCTCAACCCAGGGGACACCGCTCCAGAGACCCAACCTGGAAACAGGCGTGAATAGAAGGATCCACCACAGCACTGTTCCCAGGAACTAAGAAATGGGAAGAGCCCGAAGATCCGGCTCAGAGTCTCAGCTCGATAATTACCCAGATTCAACAGTATCCTCCGCAGCTCTGAAGAGCATGTTTCTAGTGTGTAATAAGGGCACACGCACCCCAGATTCCTAACGGTAAAAAGCGGGATCCGGAACATTATTCACTGAAATCCAATTCTGCAAAATGCGTAAGGACTTGACAAGAGGCTGGCAGGAAATACCGAAATGTTAACAGTGCCTCCTCAGACATCCTGTGTGGCCACATTTCCTATAATGAACATATGCTATTTTCACAATCAGAAAACAGTATGTTATTTTAAAAAAAGAAATTAAAATAATTAAAAACAGAATTGTACATAAAACCTGCAAAGGACCCTCAGTTGCCTTAAGTTCTGGACCCCCGAACTCAGCAGAAGTGGTCCCAGCTAGCCTGTATGGATGGACAGGTAGTGGGTGAGATGGATGGATGAACCAATGCATGGGTGGGTGGATGGATAGATGGGTGGGTAGGTGGTGGCTGGACAGGTAGACGGGTAGGTAGGTGCGCGGGTAGATGGGTGGGTGGGTAGATGGATGTCCAGGTGGATAGATGGACAGGTGGGTGGGCACACGGGTAAGGGAATGAATGCACGGGTGGGTGGCTGGATGGACACACAGATGGACAGGGTAATGGATAAATAGATGAAGAGGGGCTGTGGCCTCTCCAACAGACATCAATGCCAAGAAGAGACATGTAGTCTTGGCCACAGCCCACACCCCTCAGAGTACATTTGGCCCACCACCCCACACCATCGTCCTTCCCAGGCAGGAGGCTCAGGCTCCACCAATCCAGGATCCCCTGGCAAGGAGGTGGCAAAGGGAACGAGGGTGTAAATGCAGGTCTCAGGCTCTCCCCCTCAGTGCTCCCCCCCCCGGGCCATGCTGGGATCACATGGCTTTCTCATGAAGTGTCACCAGGCCCTGGGTGGCAGGGCATAAACAGAGCTGCCCCCTGCCCCATGCCAGCCAGGCTAGCCCCCCTGCAGAAATCGCCTTTCTCGCTCCCCACAGACCCAGCTCCTGAGAAGCCTTTCTGTGAGGAGCACAGCCTCATCCTAGGCAACCCCAAAAGGAAAGCCCAACAGGACCCCCACCCCCACAGGGGCAGAACCAAACCACACAGCCCCACTCCAACCCAGCCTGTATGTCCACCACCTGCAAGCTGCCTGTGCACACGGTGCACCCGTGTCACCTGGTGTGTCCACAGGTGTGTTCACACGTGTGCAGGCCCCGTCAGTGAGCTCTGGTCTGTGACACACACATTTGGGCCAAAAAGCACGCAAGCAGACGCATGTCTCCCACCTGAGCAGACACCAGCATGCATGGGTGCGCCCCATGAGGGGGACGCTGGGTGTGAGCTCAGCCTCAGGCTTCGAGCACGAGCGCGGCTGGCCCTCGGGTGTGTGGGGCGTGCATGTGGTCCCGGCAGGTGTGGGGCTGGTATGTGGACAGGCAGGCACACAAGTGGGTGCAGGGCACGCCTGTGCACATCCACGGGCATGCGCACGCTCACACACTCACAGGCTCTCCCTCAGCTCCTGCGTGTCATTCGGTGTCCCCAGGGACTGGAGGCTCTGCTCCAAGGAGGTCACTGCCAAGCGAAAGGGATGGGCATCAGAAGCAGAAGTACCCCCACTGGCTGATCCCCAGATTCCAGGGCACATTCCCCACCCCCAGCAGAGACAGGGTAAGGAGCCCAAGGACATGGGGGCTGAGGCCAAGGAGGCCACAGTGACCATGAGCAGCCAGGTTCAGGACAGCTGCTGCCACAGCCCAGCCCCAGCCCCACATCGGCCAGTCATGCCCCCAGCAGAGCGCCCCAGGCACAGCCCTCTCCCCCGCCCTTCAGGCACAGGCCCACAGGCTCCCAGCCCTAGGGAGCTGCCTCTGGGGGCCTCACCCTAGGTCTGGAGAGGCGGCTTTTTCTCCTCTCCTGGTCAGCACTCTCCTGCTGACCTGGCAGAGCTCAGGGCTCAGGGGCAAACACCAACCCTGGCCCACAGGGTATGGCGAGCCACCCCCCATCCCCCTGGTCTACAGGAGCTAAGGATGGGGTGAGACAGGGCTCTCACTCCTGATCCCGGGGACCTGTGAGGCAGCCCGTGCGGCCAGTCAGAGGGAGGCTTTGAGGCACCCCTTCCCAGGGGGCACTTGTCCAGATTGCAGGGAGCAGTGGACACACAGGCCACCCCCGCCCTGCCCTGAGACCACAGTGCTCTCCTGGGCTGCAGGGTGGCTGAGTAAGAGGATGGCCCCTGGCATGCCCACCACCCCATGTCACCTCGACCTCCTGTGCCATGCTCAGTGGCCCAAGATGGCCAGGTCAGGTGGGAGTGAGACCGGGCCTGGCACAGACTCACCATTGCAGTTGATTCGGAAGACGCTGGCCGACGTCTGCTGGAACAGCTCCTGGAGGTCACTTGGGTCCACCTGGGTGGCTGGAAGACAGCAGAGGGGAGCACACACATTCATGGAGCTGCCTGCTCTGGGCAGTCACACCCTCCCAGCCTGGGGTCACCCAGAGCAACAGGGATGGAACGCCAAGCCCACCCCGGGGCACGCAGAGCCATAAGAAAGGGAGGAAAGTAGGGGGCAGCCCCTCAGAAAGGCCCCAGCACCCCTGCACTGGCGCACCCAAGAGAAACAAGAACCCGGTCCCGCATGAGCGCCTGCACACATGTGCGTGTGGTCACTGCAGACTTACGAGTCACAGGACAGAAAGGACCCAACAGCCAGCAACTGGTGCTAAAGCAGGGTCCATGCCCCGACAACGACACACCACACAGCTAAACCTCTAAAATGTGCCGGCGAAGGAGGCAGGCACGGGCCTCGTGCCATGTGGTTCCACGGACATGAAGTGTCCAGATCCACAGGGATAGAAAGCAGATCCACGGTGGCCAGGGGCTGGGCGCCAGGGAACAGGGTGACTGCTAATGGCTATGCAGTTTCTTTGGGGATAATAGAAGGTTCCGGATTATTCGTGGTGATGGCTGCACACACCGTTGCAGATATTAAAAACCAATGAAGTGTACATTTTAAGATGGTTAACATGGCGAATTTTACGTTGTATGAATTTTAACTTAAAAAACTCTACTGAACATTCTGTGGACACCACCAAGTCCTGGAGGGACGGGAAGGCCACACATGTGGCCACAACAGCAAGGTCTGCCTCCCTTAAAGGACACGGCCCTGCCCTTCCTGTGGCTCTGCCCACCCCGTGGCCTGGCCATGGCCCCCTAGGTATCCACACAGAGAAACACAAAGAGGCCCACAAGAAGCTGGTGCAAGATGCTCACAGTGGCTTCATATCAGAACCCGGAAAGGGTGCCACTGGCCACCAACAGAATACACAGGACCCTTCACGTGACAGCCACAAAGAGGAGGGACTCACATGCGTGTCTACACTGCCCACCCCCGGCCCCCAGGAAAGCAGGCACCTCAGCCTGGATGGGCCAGACCTGGGCAGGTCTCCAGGCAATCGACAGGGATTTGTCCATGATGACAAGGGTCAGGGGGCGGAGGGGGCAGCGGCCTGGACCAGAGTGGGGAGCCACAGCCTCACCTACGCAATGGGGAGGCTGGTGGGAGTTTTTCTACATACTCCCGGCCCCTGGCCTCAGTGTGAAATGAGAAGAGGAAGTACATGGCTCCAAGAATCTTTCTTATCCTCCAAGTCTGTGTGTAGACGATTCTGGAAGCCAGTTACATTGGGGCAGATGCCTCCCATCCTCCCTTCTCAAAGCTGTCTTTCTCTGGACGTCTCTGGAAGCCCGTCCACGGGCTCTCCCTGCCGGCCAGCCCTGGGTCCCCCCCCAGGACCCTGTGTACTCCTGACCCCATGGGGTGTGCATCTTTCCAGATGACACCGGCTTACTGGCTTTGAGACATTCTGTCTCGGATCCAGGGCTGAAGCAGCTGAGCTCAGAGAGATGGAGGAAGTGGCCCAGGAAAGGGCAGAGGTGGAGCGGGGATGGCAGCCTTTACAAAGGTGGAGAGCTACACCCCGCAGGGCAGGGCGGCTGATGGCCTCAGTGGGGGAGATGCAGACGCAGCTCTCCAGCCCCTGCTCCAAGCACCAGGCCGTGCAGGGCCCTCGGGGAGCAGGCCCCTTACTGGCTGCGGTGTGGGGGGAAGGTGCCTGAGAGCAGCCTGGGAGGCCCCCCAGCACAGCGGTCGTGGGTGTGCCAGCGCGGCCACAGCAGCAGGTGCAGCCGTCTACAATGCCACTGCCACCAGCCCCAGGGGGTCTGGTGCACCTCGAGGATGCTGTGGGCGGGCGTGGAAACCGGGGCAGGGGCTGTCAGCCATACTGCAGACCCATGGGGCGTGGGGGGTGCAAATGTCCCAGCCCAGCAGCAAGGCCAGCAAGGCCACCACCCACACAGCCTTCTGCCCCCACGGAGGTCTGAGGGAGGCCGTGGGGGCTCCCACCTCAGCAGAGACAATGCCCGGGAATGCCGGCTGAGGCCTGTCCCCTAGGATCCGGTGTCTCCTCAGTCCTGGCACCTGGCCATGCAGCTCAGACACTCCCCTGCAGCCAGAGGGCCCACGAGACCCAGTTCTCACCTGGAGTTAGAGCGTCCAAGTGCTGTTTCCCCTCGTGTTCTTCCAAGGAAGCTGCTGGCCTGGAAGAGCCTCACCCCCTTCCCTGCTGGGATGTTGTGGGGTGTGACCTCCGACCACGGGCACCCGCAAAGGGACGGAGCCACAGCTGGGGGGAGCCCTGGTGGCAGCAGGAGGAGTCTGAGGCTTAACCCCTTCTTACTACCACAGGGAGGGGCCGGAAACCTGACAGATGCCCACGTCCACAAACACGCTGCTGGGGCCGCTGGGGGGTCGGGCTCCCCAGAACTGTGCGCCCAGACTTCACTCGCAAGCGGCCCGCTGGTCAGACAGGGTGGGCGGTGAGACGGTGACCGCACGACACTAGCAGGGTCTCTGCACACAGCCCAGGGGACCCACGCAGGGAAGGATCCAGGCGGGCAGAGGCAGGACGACAGGACGATGAGGTCAGAGCCTCGGGGAAGAGGTGGTAGGGCTGTGGGAGGCTGAACCTGCAGGAGCGGAGGGAGAGGGAGGACACCATGTTCCTTACGCCCAGATGTCCAGTGGGCACGACTGGGGGGGGAGGGGGCCAGCCACCAGCACAGGAGACACAGAGGAGAAACAGGCAAGGGAAGAGGCAAAAAGGTCACTGTGGTCAGCGGCGGGTCAGCTATGGGTCATGTGGAGCAACTCTCGGGTCAGAGGTATGTGCTGGCCAACGGAATACAGAAATTAAGACCAGAAAAAATAAGCCAACTTCTCCTAGAATCACAATGCAGGGTGCCTGATAGTACTTTAGCTTCTGTCGTAAGGAAACAGGATTACCATCCCCTGAAAATGGCTAAAACTGCATGAAAGATGGAAAATGATGTTCTGATCCCATACAAACTCCATCACAGCCCTGGGAAAGCATCACCCTGGCCGTTTCCCAGGAGCAAGGCCAGACCGCGGAGCAGGGAGGGCGGGCCGGAGCGGGGCCGGCGTTGCTGGGTCCGGAGGTGGACCCCGGGGCCTGGCAGGTCCAAGCAGCTGCCCTGGGGGCAGGAGACAGAGGGGAGACGATGAGGCAGAAGGGGCTCCAGGAGCCCGTCCCGTCCCCTGGTCTCCAGCCAAACCCATGTCTGTGCCTGCACGGGGAAAGATGCCCCTCAGCTTAGGGCACAGGGTCACAAGGGAGCTGCAGGCACCTCCTCACCCAGCAGGGTCGGTGAGTCAGGGGCAGGAGAAGGAGAGGAGCTCTGAGCACCTGCAGCGTCCAGCAGTGACCGCACAGGCCGCACCTCCGGAGGGTGGGGAGTGTCATGGTGGCAGCTACTTCAGAAGTGCCCTAAAAGATGTTTATCACAAGCCCTAAGAGATCACAGTGACCCACAAGTAAGTTCACTGCCCCTAGAACAAAGTCTAATCCTCCTCAAGTAAAACAACCAAATCCAGCACAAAAGCACCCAAAATTCACAATTTTAAAACTTACTGGACATACGAAGAAGCAGAAGCACGTATGTGACCCCTAACCATGAGAAACATCAGCCAACATAAAATCAGACCCAGAAACGAGAGAGATGACGTTAGTGGAGAAGAGCATTCGTCAACGTTACAACAGCACTGAGGGACACGAAGGGGTGCGTCTACCCAGCAAGGAGAGACCGAACATGCGGAAAGGCCGCAGAGGCCCTTGTGAAGGCCCCCTGCTTGGGGTTGGCAGCAGATGTGACGCTGCAGGGCACAGGGGACTGGATTCGAGGAAAGCGCGGTGGCCGAGCCACGGGGACCTCAGGGCAACACTCAGCAGCCCGGCAGGGGAAGGGGAGCCACAGACGGGCCACAAACAAACGAGGAGAAGTTCAAGAAATGAGGACCAAAAGTATCCAAATTTTACGCAATTAAAAACTGAGAGTGTCATAGAGAATTTCATAAAGTCCCAAACAGAATAAACACTAAAAATTCAGAGCCCAGGGCACAGAAGTCCAAACTGCAGGAAGCCTGCGGGAGAAAAGGACACTCCCCGAGGGACCAGAGGCGCACGACGCCACCACAGAGCAGGATCCGGGGGACGCTTCACCCAAACATGCGGCAGCACCAGCAGCAAAGTGCCAAAAGAAGGGGGAAAAAACCTTTCAACCAGAATTTCATACCCAGCGGAAATATATTTCAAAAATAGAAGAAAAGTAAGGAAATATTTTAGACAAAAAAGCTGAGAGACTCCATCCCAGCCAGATGTGCCACCCAGGAACCATTACAAGAAATCTGTCAGGTCAAAAGAATCGATAAAACGAAATGTGCCATCTACATGAGAAGCCGGTGTGGGAGGGCAGGCGTCAAGGCAAATAAAACAGACACCTTGTCTCACTTTAAATTCATCTCAGAGAACACTGATTATTAAAGTGAAAGCCATGGGGCGCCTGGGTGGCTCAGTCGTTAAGTGTCTGCCTTCGGCTCAGGTCACGATCCCGGGGTCCTGGATCGAGTCCCGCGTCGGGCTCCGTGCTGGGCGGGAAGCCTGCTTCTCCCTCTCCCTCTGCCTGCTTCTTCCCCTGCTTGTGCTCTCTCTCTCTCTCTGTCAAAAATAAATAAAATCTTTAAAAAAACAAATAAATAAAGTGAAAGCCACAAGAGGCCCGCTAGCAGTAACGCGCAGTCCCGAAGGGAAGCGGGAGTCGGCCGTGCAAGGCTCCCATGTCACACGCCGAGTGCCTGAGCAGGACCCGAGGACACGCTGTCAGGAGCTCAGGTGCACACCAGAGACTCCAAAGCAGCCACTAAAAACACAAAACAAGCAGGTATCGCTGATGAGCCACGAGTGGGGGCAAAATGGAATAATTAACAACATTCAATTCCTCCAAAAACATGAAGGAAGAAAGAAAGGAAAAGAAAGGGAGATACAGACTGCGAACAT